CTGTTAAGCTCAGGAAAATGAAATCTGGCAGATGAGTACACTCAGGTCACAGTAAATACTCAGTTTCTCATGAAATTCAATCCCCCTATAGCTAAATTATACCCACAGAATAGCACAGACTTGAGATAGTCAGAAATACCTAATTTACCTACGAACTCCAGGGATGTCCAAGTTCCCATTCTTCACTGATCTTCCTGAGTCACTCTGGCGCAGCCAGACGAGACTGAAAATCAGATTTTCAGCAGCATTTCCAGGCTAAGTCACTGGTAACCCTCGGGCGCGTTCATTTTGCTACAGTCCCAGTTTTTGCATCCATACGTATGTGGGTGTATATAGCTATATGTACACATATATGTGTGTGCATATATATATATATTTAAGGTGAAAAAAAAATAATTCAACGAGTATCACCACAACCGTTTATTTTTATTTAGCATGAGGTTGAACGCCAGGAAAAAACAGAAGATACATAAACACTGAGTACAGTTATGTATCTTCCCAGACGGCGAAATAAGTGTGCAGAGGTGGCTTTGTTTCTTTAATCGCCTGCTTTTTAAAGGCCTCCTGGAAGCCTACCATGATTTCAAGAGAATGTGAGTTCATTTAATCTCTGACTTGGTTTATTCAAACACTGAGTGAAAGCATTAAGCGCCAGGCGCTCAGGGTACTTACCCAGATTATACCACATATCCCTGATTTCAAAACCGATCTGCCTTCTCATATCACCGTACCTTAAAAAGGAAAACAAAACCACCATTACAAAAAAAAAAAAAATCTAATAGTAATAAGCAGAAACATCTCATTTCAAAATCTGATCAGCGTTCAAAAATATTTGAAATTACAGAGCAGGTTCTCCAAACTCAACGACGACAGTAATGTTGCACAGCCTCCCTCCCCAGCTCAGCGATGCGCCCGTAACCACTGAATTTTGCCCAATGTCCCTTTTACAAGGGAGGGAGACACAGAGGCTGCCTGCCACGGCCAGGCACCCCAAAAGCCTCAGCCACCAGCTTCTGTGCCTCGCCTCGTCTTACTTGCTCTCCCTCAAAAGACCCCAATTTTCAATTTCTGCAGCAATACTACCAAAGGAAGAACACACACAAAACATCCACCTGCGCAAAACTTCTCTTTGCCGTACTGTCAGATTACCTAACCGTCCTTCGCGACACACGGGTGGTTGCCGAGATTAATTGTGAGCATTTTCTATTTTTCAAATGGTAATGGCTGGAGGAAGCATAACAGAGAGCTTCACCGCCTAAGGCTGCATTTTATTTTTACACACCCTCTTAGCATAGCATTGTCCTAGAAAATACAACAAGGAACATCTTGTGACATCTCCTACTTTGATGTGCAAAACCAGAAAGAGAAGGTTTCTACGCTCCAATGCAAATTTGTGTCCTGCTGGACTAAACCAAAAGTCCGTGGTCCCAGGCAGTTAATGAGCCAGGGCGGAGGTGGGAGCCCATCCTTCAGCATCGCCGCTAAACCTGTCTCTGCTCCGCGCAAACGTGGTGGCACCAACCTCTCCCACCGCCCAGCAGGGCATTTTATTATTCCACTCTCTCTCCACATTAATACCAGAAAAGCTTAATGAATGGAAAACATCCTATTGCCTTTGTTAATGATGGGATCAGAACCATAATGAGCTCCAAGAATGTATTTGCTACGTGGAATATTTGTATGTTAAAGATCATTATTTAAATAACAAGATGAGGAAAGTGGTAATATCTGGCAACTTGTGGAACTCCTGTGGGATAACAGAGATAACCTGTCATTAATGTGGATTAAAGAGATTCTTCTGCATCATTAAGAATCTGTTATTATTTAATGCTTAAATGCAATGTTTAGCAAAAACTACAAATTACAATAATTAAATTTTTAATTATTAAATATTTGACATATTAATTGAAATATATACTTAAAAAGATGAGTGACTGTGATATTGAATTAACTGATTAATTATACCCCTTTGGCACAGAACTAGTAGTGGTTTCACACAGCAATAAAAGTCAGTGCTTCCAGACCACACATTTATTGCACCTTGAAGAATTTATGGTCTTGTTATCTCTCCCTGAAACAGGATTAAACTGAAAATAACAACTTGTAAAATCATTATAAACAGAGATTTACAATTTAGCAAACTTCATTAAGTAACCACTTCAAATTACTTAATCTATTTACTTATATTAGCAGTGAGAAATGTCTGTTGATTTCTTGAATTTCTTCGGCAAGATATACTGCTCCGTTTAATATAAAAACCACTTGAAGAAAATTTCTGTCTAAGGTTCCCGTCCTCACAAAGACGACTATCAGCCCACAAATGTATTGAACGGTGATTTCCTGTCCAATTCCAGCCCAGCTGTTGGGTTTTTGTTCCGGTCAGGAGTCTGGACTAAAATGCCGACGTAGGCGCACACCGGCGTCGGAGAGAGAGAGCAAAGGGTGGGCAGAGACGGGGGACTGACGGCAGCCACGGCTCTCATCCCTCTGCTGTGAGCGGAGCGCTTTGCCCTTCGCAGCATCCTTTACACTCTTAATTACGAACGAGAATTTGCATCACTCGTCCCATCTTGTACAAAACCGTTTCGTTCCTTTAAATTCTAAACCTAACGAAACAACATTTACCCGGCTCTACAAAACCACCTTGATTTCCTTTTGCAAACGTCTAACTATAATGTTATTTATAATATTTATAGCACAAGTGCAAAAGCCTGAGCTCTGCTTGACATCACTTTTCCACCGAACTTGTAAATATTCCCGTTTCATCAAGGAAGCCCCACGAGTCACATGTACGCACATAAGATCACACGGTGCTTAAAAATTCTGTTTCAAGGCTCAGGTAAAGCACAGCTTCCAAAGGAAGCTCCTCCAAACTCACGATGGAGGGGATGAGTTTGAAGGGCAAAACTTTGCTGCCAGAAAAAAAAAGCGGATGGGACAGAGAGCCCTGTCTTTCCTGGTCAACGCCTGCAACCCACACAGCTCAAGCCAAAAACGCCTTTGAAAATCACAGCTCACCGCAGCACTGATAAACTCTTCCCATCCTCACTGTGATCTCTCTCATCATCATAATATACAAAAAGGCTTCAATTTAGAAGGTGAAGTGATACAAAACGCATCTTCTTTCTCTGTACAGATATATAATCCATCACGCGTACGCGGGGCCTGAGCTATGCTTGCTCAGGGAATCCCGGCTTTGAAACTCCATTTTTGTGCATCAGCCGCGGTTACCTGACTGAGGATGGGAACAAACTGCTTTTGCAGGCGCTCTTTACAAACATTACAAGACAGAAAGAGAAGCCACGCACCGTGTTTGAACACAGCAACTGGCTTTTTTTCAGGGTTTAGTTAATTAATGACAAAGTCCACTACACTGGCACCCCAATGAAATTTAGGAGAAATACATTAATTAAACAAAATATTCATGCTCTGGTCTTATTTCCAGTCTTTTCTCCTTTCACAGGTTTCATCTGCTGTGGGATCCTGAATAGCAATCGGGTAGTTCCAGCTCCCTGCTCAGAGGCAGGCAATGTAATCCCTTTTAACGGGGAAAGCATACGAGACCGCAGTTATGCAAACCCATTCTTCAGGGATATCGCAGTGAAACTGGCTGTAGTTAGAAAAATTCACTCTAAAAGGCCGTTAGGGATTAAAGCAATAAAAAGCGCACGTAAAATGAGATTAGAATAAGCACAAAGCTAAAGTGATTTAAAAACTCGGTTTTATAAGATGTTAATACTTCTGAAAAGTCTTGACTTTATGCACATCCTGCAGTATAAAATACTGTCTTCATCAGTAATGAATCATGTAATTTAGATCTTGATTCAAGGGTAGAAACACATGCAATACTTGATTCATGTTTTTAAAACCAACCTTTCATTATACCATGATTGCATCTCAATTTGAACGGATTTAGCTAAGAAATTAAACTAAAATTATGTTAATAGACCTCAAGTTCTTGTCCATGATTTAGATGATGAACAGGACTTACTTGTTAAGTATTTTTGCTCTTTTAGCACTTGAAAAATTCTCCAGTTGTAAAGACTCTTGTGTGAGAAAAGCAACAGCCAGGTGGAAGTAGTTGTTCCAAAGCTGAAAGCCCCCAAAATGACAAGAATAGATACCATTAATTCTCTGAAATGTTCTTCTGCACACCTACAAAACAACTTAGAAGTATCTAAATTATGCACATAAATATTTAAAAGAGAAAATAACAGACACCACAGAGACGGTGTTTCTTGGTATTTTCCTAGTACGTCTTGTGTTTACGTTTCCATGAAACATTTCCCATCTACAATTCCTAATCGATTCTGTTTTGATGATTCAAGTAAAATTAAACGTGAACACATAAATATGAAAAGAAAAAACCAAAAAAGGATCCTGAGCAAGTGCCCTAAACCGGCGCGTTTCTCAGCAGCAGGGCACCGACACCGCGGCTCGGGCTCCACGCTTGAGGCAAGAATCCCACTAAAGCATCTGCTGCAGACAGGGGGAGGACCCCTCTCTCTGCTGCTCCTGAAAGAGTTTTTAACGATGCTCTGGGTAAGACCCATAAGCCACGAGCGGCTCGTACAAACCTGCTGAGCCCGCAACGACTTCACTGGGCTAACTGGTCTCCTGGGGTTCACGACGACATGCATACACCAAAATTAGATGTTTGGGGCAGAAATTCATTACAATATTAACATTAGTCCCCAAAACATGGGTGGTTTTTTTCTTACCTGTAACTCAAAGTTGGCTTGATCAAGAAATTTTTTGTTTAGCATATCTGCATACTGATTAATTGCTCGCAGGAAGACTCTGAAAGATCAAGAGAAAATTACATAATTACACACTCTTCTGTGGTACCTTTGTACATTCAGCATCCCAATTAGACAAAAATCTGAGTCTGTCTGGAAAGTAAAATTTGGAGCTGTTACTTGAAAAGCAGTGTGATCTCACCACTGTTAAGTATACAGAATTATATGCAGATGTTCTCAAAATTAATCACGTAAATTAGCATATGCAGAAACAGAAGGAATGTTTTGGATAAAATCACTTGTCTTTAAAATATCTCATGATAATCAAGAGATCATTAAAAATTCAGTTTATTAGAAAAAAGTATATACCAGTATCGTAGTGTTGTATCTAACCTAGACCTGCATTTGGCTGTCTTCTAATGCGCAGGTCAAGAAAAACGCATGAGGCAAAGAGCATTTTAGTTATGGTACAATAACACCTAAAAATGCTGTTGAAGGACAATCTTCAAAACATTGCTCACTGTTCTACTTCTAAAAGACTAATTTAGTTCCCAGTGTAGTTTATTGCTTTTCTAAAAAGGGTGCTTCTTAAATTGCAATAGGAGTTGGCTTGACAAGCTTTAAAAATAAAACCAAATGTTGCGGTATAAGTAGGTCACTACATATTCATGGTGCTGTAAAGTAAACATATTATGCTTTGGTACCCTAATCTCCATTTTCAAAATAAACATTAGATTCCTCCTGAAAACCTTAAATTTATGCTATGAAACTGCCAGCTAATGCCCAGACAAATGAGCCTGTCTCTTGAGCAGACTGCGGTAGAGATAGATGTCTCCTAAAAGTACCAGCAACGATAAAGACCACTCATGACGTGTACCTACTTCCCCCCTCTAATAGCAATCTTTAAAAAGAGAGTTCACTATCGAATGCAAATAACAAAGTTAATCTTTCTACAGGCTGACAAACAACTACCAGAATTATTTAAAACAACCCAGTAGAGGCAGTTAGAAAGCTCTTTTACTGAATTGAAAATACCTACTGATTTCTCCTGAAAAAAATTAATATTTAGCTAAATGTTTGGTAACCCAAGGGAAATGAAGCCTCCAGATAACACACAGGCATCAGGATGCTGAGAGAGATTATTTCTGTATTCGACATTAATAAAGTAAGGCAAATGTTTTGACACCATTGGGATGTGGCTTTGCTCTAAAGTCAGAGCACCCCCATAGTAGTGTAACGGAGAAGGAAAGTATCCTAACACTAAAATAAAAATTAAATTTATGGAAGAAAATACAAAAGAAAATGTAAAAGATGAAAGAATATAAAAAAAGAGTATAGAAAAAAGTAAATACATGCATATGTAGGTATACGCACATACGTACATTTTACAGTATTACTCTTTATAGCTAAGCGGTCATAGGCAGCTACACGCCTGCATCCAGCGTGCGCTGAGACGCGCTTCAGGAACAGCACTTCTGCGCATTATTCACCAGTGTCTTCATCAGTGTGTACGTTTGGAAACAACTTCATTAGGAGATTTTATAAATGAGATGAATTCGGCATACCCAACAATACACTGCAGATACATTTATTTTAGATCGATGATTCAATTACTGAGCTGTAGCGTATACTAAGATTGAAACTGAAGTTATCCATGTAATCAGACGATCAACAGTTTGATATGTAGACCTATACCCTGTTTTGTTTTGTGGTTTTAAAGTCTGATAATACTATGCGATCCGTAAGTCTTCCTAGAAGAATTAGTAATTTAACATAGTAGGAAAGGCCATCTAACGCTCCTTGCCTTACACAGATAAAATCAGTTCCAATACAGGGAGGATTATGCCTACAATTTAATTATGTTGCCTCAAGACATTGCTGTAATGTATTCAATCTGCTCCATCTAATTAAGCTCTGGAACAATCTCATTACTTTATATACCATTATTTTTCTTTAAATTGTAACTCTCATTTTTCCCCTATATTAATTCTAGTGAATACCAATAAAGAACAAATAATGCAGAATCTACTGTACGTTCCAGCTGCAAAAGGACCAAAGCACAGCACATCTGTTAAACTGCAGTTGTAATTAAACACCACCATCCTCTCGCAGCCCATGTGCTACCCCTGTAATCGGGCTGCTTTAGGAAGGTAGATATTCCTCCCAACAAAAGAAGATCAAAAGAAGAGATGCAGAGATTTAAGTCCTGATTTTTGAATTATTCAAACCCCATTTTAATTTTGATTTAATTTGATGATACACTCAATCCTTCCGTCACTGGGTAAAACGCTTCCTAACGTACATCAGTGAAGAAAGCCCCGTTCTTGTCCCACTGAACAGTATTTTTATTATAACAGTAAATCTTCAGTTGAAAATCAAACGTAAGTCAATGAGGATTTTGTGCCTGTTTCGACCAGTACTGAAGGGATTGCTGGAAATACGGACAGTCCCTTTACTACAATACGAGGGAAGTCAAAATATGTGTAGTCCAGATCACGGTTAATGGTCAGACTTGATGATCTTAAAGGTCTTCTCCAACCCAAACAATTCTATGAGTCTATGGTAGGGCAAAGTGAAACATGACTGGCACAGCACAATAACAGTAAGATCCATCCTGAATAATCCAGATTTAACTGAGGAAAAGAGAAGTTACAAAGTGCATTAATCAGCAACCAATTTAAGTGCTACAACCTCTTGGCACAACTGAAGTCACTAGAATGACCCTGCCATGGCTAAGCTCGCAGCGCTTCCTAGCGTCGTCTAGTTCCTCCAGTGCCGAGAGAAAACAGAACAATTGCGATGACTTTTATCCGATGAAGTTGATTTTAAGACTACCTATTAAAATATTGGCAATTAGTAGCAGCAAGTTGTATGCCATACTGAGAGAACGAGAGCAGAGAGATTTCATCACGGTACTCCTCCTTCCCCGTGGTGTAAAGCTTTATTGTTTCGGGGCCCGATCAGGAAAGGCTGGATTTAGACAAATCTACTTTTCTATCAGGCTGAGATCACCGACTACCACTCCGTGTGCTCCTGACCACCTCCTAGTCTCCTACATACTCACACAAGAGTGAGGAGAATTGTCAGCTGAGAAAAAAGCTAAGGATTGCTGCCTAGAATATTCAAACGGCGTCCTGTGAACCGGGTGCAATTCGGTGAATGAGAGTCAGGAGAAATAACGACAGCAAGAGTAAGATCGTTAGGTTGGCCTCACTCCGCCATTTTGGTACGACACTCAGCCGTATGGTTAACCAGACAGAAAGATTACTGCCCTGAAGAGATCATTTGGATAGAGAAAAATTTTGCTTGATGAATTCTTGGCTATAACCCGCGAAATGGTATGTTACCACCTGCGAAGTCTGCAGCAACTCAGGAATGTAAAAATGGTTCAGGTTTATGCCCAAATAAAACTCAGAAAAGGAAGCAGAAAAATTTTATGAATCATTCCAGGTGTTAGTTTAATGCCCTTCCTCCTCCAAAGCAGGTACTGACAATTTTCAGCAACTTCCCTGTCAAAGTGAGAGAAACTGAAAAAAATGGAGGGAAATGCGGCTCTTCAGAACAGGCAGAAATAAACCAAACGCCTCCGTCTGTACTGAAGAAGGATGAAAGGTGTACTCGGACACCACCAGGCCAACAGACAAGTAATCAAAACTATCTCCTGTGCTCAGATGGAGAACATCAATTTGCAGTGGCACACCTTATCTTGCTGTATTAATAATGAAGATTAGCTTCCAGTTGCACGTGCATAAAAAGAAGTGCTTTTCTTGAAGTTCAGTTTTGCTTAACAAAAGAATAGATTATCCATGTCAGGAAGAGCCACCAAAGTTAAATCTTGAAAAAGAGAGAAGTTCAGAGACTGGAACCGATCGCGATGTATGCCGCTGCAATACCCGGAATGTCACACACAGCAACAAAATCTAATGCTGACATATTGGAAAAGATTCGTTAGACAAAAGACTTTATCAACCCAATTAAAAGAAGAAAATTAACAGTTCTTATGACGTGATTGGAATAGAAGGAATACGATTACAGAAGGAAGTCACTTCAGGATATGCGGAAGGAAGAATGACCGTTGCTAAAGGGCATAAGTACCTACCAAATAACAAAATTAATATCCCAGGCAGATGAGGGTCATGTGTGCTAAGCCCCGGGGGATGAGTGGTGCCGGCCTTGGCTCCCAAACACATCCGCAGCTTTCTGAGGTCTCTGCTGTGGCAGTTAGGGCCTCTGAGGTAGGGACTGTCCTCTTATTCCACGTTGAGTAGCTTCCATCCAAACCAAACCAAACCAGGTCGAGCAGACCCCTGTGGTCTGGTCGGGTATCATTCACCTTCTCCTGCCTCGGGCAAACGGACAGATTACTTCTAATTTCTTCAGTAATTTCTCCCCATTTACGGCTCTCAATCCGGAGGCAATAAATCAATTAATACGCTGCTGATTGAAGCCATGAGCTCACTTCAATTGCAAGGACTGAGTTCTGGGTATGTTGACTGTTATTGATTACTAATCACTGCCAACAGGCCCGTAGCTGGTTAATTGGTTCGTGGATGCATGCTTAGAGCTTGCTCCAGCAAACAGTGCAAAAATTAATGGTTCGATTCTGTAATTTCACCCTTGCAGAGAGGCTCTCTCTTCCTACTGAATTCAGGAGGCTGTTCATATATATCAAATCTAGACTTCAACTGGCAATAACAAATGAAGAAGGGACAAAGGGATTCAATTTATAAGTGTAACAGTAGTCACTGTGCCAGACAACTCTTTTTTTTTTTTTTTTTTCTTTTTCTCAGGTACAGTCAGTTTTTCTTCCTCCGTTCTCTCTTATAATTAGTCAAGTGCCCTGATTTGCTTGTTTGCTCATGTTTAAAAATATTCTATGCCCCATTTTCTTTCATTCAGCCTCTCACATCATTGGGAAGTATCTGCAAAAGCTAAAGGAGACGAGGAAAGCTGGAAGTCACACGATGCTGCAAGGCACCTCTCTCGTCGGGTAACGTGCACACACAAATCAAACTGCCTCTGCAAGAAGATTTTTCCTGAGAAATAATCTAGAGAGAGATATTGCAAAAGTAGAAACATTCTTACAGCATATTTCATTTTGTACATTATTTAGTTAGCTGCAGTACCCAGGGATTCGGATTTACACTATAAGCACTTAAGCAAAATACTTCTGACAAGAAAATACGAAACAATACAGGCTACAAAGGTACTCCCTTCTATTTTTCCTTAAGCAAACATCAAAAGAGAAGAGTGAAAGAACGAACGTATGGCTTCCCTAATGACAGAATAATTATCTAAACAAGAATATACAGATACAGCTTAAAATAATTTAGGTTTAGCTGATAATTCAATAAAAGAGAGGGAATCTGGAGTGAGGTTATAAAAGGCACTATTATGATGTCATTTCAGTTAATTTAGATGGAAGGATAATGAATGCTTTATTATAGCTGATCAGCCTTCCTGCACATCATCATGCTTTCCATGCTTGAGCTTTTGCTTCTCTGGGAGACAAATTTACTGTGCATATACGAGACAGACTACTCTTATCTTGTCAGACTGCGTACGAAACAACAGACCTAGACCTTGAAATCCCAATGCAAAACCCAAACCTGAACAAATGCTCACTAAAGCACGAATAGCAAAGCCTTCTTTTAAACAGCAATCACTTCAAATACCTTCAAATTCCTTTTCAACTTCTCAGTGTTGCAAAAGCACAGCTAAGTTTTAAAAAACTCTTCACTTACATATGACTAAACCCTTGCATTTTAATATACTCCTATAACCACTTCTCTATTGACATTGCATACGGTATGGTGAATCTCCAATTATTTTGACCGTAGAACATTGAGAATACGTAGTGACCTCATACGTGTATTTTGTACAAGTCAAATGAAAGTCAAAATCATTAGAATGAGTGAGCGTGAAGGTATCCGCCCTCCTCGCATCTCCCCCCCAATTTTCTCCCTTCTCACATTCTCTCTTTTCTTTTCTGGTGATGTTATTACTGTTTACCTGTCTTCACACCTCCAGACCTGACAAATGCTCAAATGAAAAAAAAGTTTAAAAGATTCCTTGTAATATCCTCTAATTCAGCAGGCTAAAGAGCAGTCAAAACTTTAAAAAAAAAAAAAAGAGAAACAAAAACCTTGAAAATTTGCTTTCTTCTGAATTACAGTTCCTGAGCTGAATATGATAACAGCACAGAGTAATCCCAATGAAGACTTGCTACTAAATACTTACATTAGCATAATCTTCTCATAATGTCTGCTCCACACCGGCACAGGTAGACCATGTCACTTTATTAACCTATTTTCTAATAAATATTTCAGAAACGGTTTTAGCATATTATCTATAATCACTGACACCTATTTCCTAATTTATATTCTGTGCTGTGTGTCCTCTAAAACAATGGGGACAGATGAATGAAAAATAATTGCAAGTTACTACGTTCTGAAGGACGAGCTTGTGGTCTGACTACCAACAACAGGTACCGTATTTTACAAACCACCTTTGCAGCACGACTATCTTGCACCTTAAAATAAAATTGGTGGAACAGACAGGCAAGAGTGTTACACCACTGCAAAATCAAATGATAAATGTTTATAGAAATAAACAGTAAAAAAAAAGGGTTGGATTTACAGACGTACCCTGCCTACCCGGCAGCTGGATGGATCCACGGTGATACACAGTCCAGCTCAGACACCCGCTAAAATCGACGGGACTTCCCGGCAAGAAAAGCGTCCTTAGCATGAGGACAGCCCCAACGCAATGCTCCACCTGAAGCCAGGCGTCTGTTTGACGACCTTGGCGTAGAGTCAGAGGAGCGGAGGGATGCTGAGGTTGGAAGGTGCCTCTGGAGGGCTCTGGTCAAACTGGAGCAGGTTGCTCAGGGCTCTGTCCAGTCGGGCTTTGAGTACCTCGAAGGACATGGACTCCCCTGGACAACCTCCTCGGACAACCTGTGGCAGGGTCTGACCGCCCTCACTCTCCTCCTTTCTCAACCACTACTCTGAAGTCAAGGCTGTGGTTTCGTGATGACTTTCAGAGCGCAGGAAAGAAGACTTCTATACTCTTTTTTCAAAAGCACCAGTAAACTTTGTATCCTGAAATTTTATCTAAGATGTAACTCCAGCCATGGATACAATCTTATGTACTAAATTTCACCACCTAGAGAATTTTATGACAGAGAAATAAAAGCTTGGAAATAGTGTTTTCTAATGGAAATGCTAGAAGACAATTTAATTTAGGAGGTTTTAGCTCAGGCTACAATACTGGGAAGGCAGCATCCACTGTAAATGGACAGCATTAGCGTTCCTCTAACCCAAAAGACAATATTCTAAAGGAAGAAGACACATTGAATTCAGAGAGACTGTTTCTTATTATGGTAGTTGGCAAAAACTTGCAATAGATCTTATAATTTAAAACAAATGTAATTTGTTGTAGTGCTGGCTGGAAGAAATCTCTGCAATCAGGTTAGCTATTAAACAAGCAGTTTTCATTATAATGCGCTGCTCAATAAAATGCAAAAAGTCTTTGCTACAGATATCATCACCTTATCCTTGGTGAGTTCCCCGGCTGGAAAAAACCATCCCTTCCAAGCAAGTGTGCAACCAGAGAGGAGAGCTTTGTGGGCTCGCAGATGATCAGAACCTGCCGGCCAGGGCTGGTGGATCTCTGCCCAGGCTCCTACCCCCAGCTCTCCCGGCCGCCTCATGCTTTCTTATTTTGACTTGACCCGAGGTGGGAATTCAGCTATAAACCAGAAGATGGTTTTTTCCTATTGCACTGCTTTTTAAAGCATTATTTATTATTTAGCAAAGAGAAATAATTAAAAAAAGAGAAGGAACTTATGGGAAGTGTGGGAAAGGACGTCGCAGGCAAATTTTCCCATGAAGTGTGAAAGTTCTGACTGAATTTTGCAAAAGGTTTTCAAATACTTGACAGCGTCTCGCAGTTTGCAGCACGGGAACCTCCCTCATTTTCTGCTGACAGCACTGTCCTTTGTAACTTACCCATTTCCATGGATACTAGATGTGAATACAGATTAAGGCTACTTTAGCTAATTATGGATAAATCAATAAAATCGATTCCCTACATTTCAAATTCTTTGGCACTTTCATCAATTTTGCAATCAATTGTTAAGCACCTGGCTAAACAAATGTCATAATGTTGCTTGAAAAATAATCTCAATTTTTCCTGTGGGTATTTAATTACTTTATCAA